GAGCGGGTGTGGAGCTGGCCGAGTTAGTGCTGTGAGGAGGAGGCGGAGGCCACCCTGGTCCAGAAGTAGCCGGCGCCACAGAGACGGCTTCCTATGGTGCAAAATCGAGTATTTCAGGCACAGGTGGGCCTGGGGAATAGCAACCTTGTCCCCACACCCCAGCCCCTGTAAGGCACGCACAACCCCTTACCGACAGATGAAGGGCAGGGTCAGTGCACAGGCCACACGGTCCTCAGGGCTCCCAGAGAGCAGCAGGTGAGTGAGGGCACCTACTCCAAAGGGGGACTCGGCCTGCACGGTCAGGTTCTGCAGCAGCATCTCACCTGCAGGGGGAAGAGCAGGTCAGGCTGGGGGCTGTGTCCAAGGTCAGGGTGGGATGGGCAGGACTCTGGGTCCCTGAAACAAAGGAGGGTAAAACCTCAGGGCAAGAAGTCAGCACAGGGAAGAGGGACACCTGCCCTGTACACCCTGGCGGGATGGGCCAGGATGCTGGAACCAGAAGTCAAGGGGAAGAACGGAAGGTGGAATGGTCGGGGTACCAGGCTTGGCCTGTGAGGACTGACACAGTCTGAGCCGAGGCCCAGAGGCAGTCCCCGCAGTGCCGGAGGCAGCAGGACCAGGGAGGATATGGAGCCTGAGCCTGGGCTCACAGGTCAGTGTGCCTGGGGGCACGTGAGCAGGACGCTGCAGAGCAAGAGCCAAGAGGGGAGAGAAATGCAGACAGGCCTGACTCCAGGCTGCTGGAAGCCAAACCTGGCATCGGAGCACCTGGGCGCCGAGGCTCAGGCAGAGGGCAGAGCAGAACTCTGCATGCAGCGGGAAAGGAGGAGGAGGAGGTGTGCCAGGCCAGCCCGCACCACCTGCACCTGGGCGCCGAGGCTCGGGCAGAGGGCAGAGCAGAACTCTGCATGCAGCGGGAAAGGAGGAGGAGGTGTGCCAGGCCAGCCTGCACCACCTGCCGCCTGGGGCTGCTCGATGGCGGGCTGGGAAGGACAGTGAGAGGGACGGTGAGTGGTAAAGTGTGGCTCTAGGCCCTCCGAGGACACATGAGGAGGGAGGAGGATGGGGCCTTGTCTGTGGGCAGGGAGGCAGGGAGCGTACCTAGCTCCCGGTGCTGGCTGCAGCGAGGGGGCCGATTGCGCGGGGCAGGCCAGTCATCTGGAGCCACGCCAAGCACCAGCCAGGCACGCAGCAGGGCTGCTCCGTAGCTGCGCACAAAGGCCTCAAGGCAGGCAGGATTGCAGGTGAGGCGTGCCAGGATACGCAGGGCACGTGGGCTTGGCGGGCCTGGGGCCCCTGTCACGTAGGCCAGCAGACCACAGAGTGCTGGGCCAGTCACCAGGGCCCCACTTGGGTCAGGAACTTGAGAGAAGCGTGACAACAGCAGCAGTGCTGGCCCCTCGCGGCCCCAAGGCTCCTCTGAGGTGGTGGCAGGGCTGCGGCCTGGCGTGTGCAGTGCACGGGGTGGCCGCAGGGAGGTCGGGCCCGGGGTGGGGCTGGCTGGCTCTGCTGGCTCTGGTGGTGGTGGACAGTGTTCAGGAGACCAGTCTGGAGAGATGTCTCCAGGGCCTGCAGCATAGCCCTCGGAGATCAGCCATGATCTGTGGAGGGCAGAAAGACGAGACTGAAGCCAGGGGCCAGACAGGGGCCCTGCAACAGGAAGTGAAGCCAGGGCAGAGAAGGAGGGCAGATGAGAGGAGGGTAGGGGAGAAACAGAAGTGGGGGTAAACATGGCACCTCATCCAATTACAGATGCTTATCATGTACCAACCCTGTTTTAGGTGCTAGGAGAAGCACTGGACTAAACAAAGTTCCTTTCATCCTGGGATTATATTCTTTTTTGGGGAGGTGTTTGCTATAGGGCGTGTGAGCTCACCAGAAAGACAGAGACAGAGAGACAGAAAGCGAGAAATCACTGCCCTGGGTGGATGGCCATGCCACAATCCCTTCTCCATTCTTCTCTTGGGATCTTGGGTACGCATGCACATGTGCCCAGAATGAATTTAAACTACCAGATCCGGGACTCGAACTGCGGTCGACTATATGGGAGTCCAGCGAAATAGTCATTACACCAACTGCTGGTCCCGTCGGGGGATTATGTTCTAGTTAGAAGAAACAGATAACAGTATAAATAAGTAAACCACTGTGGACTCAGGGTGATGTGACGTGATGACAGAGAAAAGTAAAGGGATGGGAAGTGCAGGGAAGGGAAGAGTTGACATCTTGAACAGGGTAGTGACGGTAGTGCCCACTGAGAAGGGACGTGCTGAACAAAGACTGGAAGGCGGTGAGAGACGGAGGCAGAGGGAACACTGACAAAGATGCCCTGAGATGGCACCCACCAGTCATGTTCAGTAACTAGTGAGGAGAGAGTGGCAGTCACCAGGGAGCACAGTAGGGGATGAGGTCAGAGACCCACAGGAAGGCTGGCATTTAACCGGCATCGTTTACTGCCAGGGAAGGGGTGATGTAGCCACATTCGATCTTTATAATAGCCAGGGCCAGCCAGGCGGCATGGTGGCTAAGGCAGTCGGATCCCACATGGCCAACTCTGTGGTTCAAGTCCTGGACTTGGTGGCTTGGAAAACAGGCTGGGGTGTGTGTGTGCGTGCCCAAAATCCCGAGAGGAGCATGGAGGAAGAGGGATTGTGGTGTGACCATCCCCAAGGGGGTGCGTTCTCACAGCTTTCTTTCTCTCTGGTGAATGCATGTGCCCTACAGCAAGTTAAAAAACAAAAACAAAAACAAGAAAAAACACCTTGACAACAACTCTGTGGGGTATGTATGTTGTTATCCTCCATTCTATACACAAGGAGTCAGAGGCTCAGAGAAGTTAATTCGCCTTCCCATGTTTCGGCTCCTACGTGATAACAGAATAAGAACTAGGCCTCCTGGACACGCCGTCTGAACCAGTACATGGACCGCCTCCCAAGGAACCTGCCTGGTGCCCAAAGTTCAGAGGGGCTGGTGTAGAGCCGAGGTCGAAGGGGAGACAGAGGGGAGGTGTAGCGATGCCAGGGAAGAACAAGGAATCAGGAGTCAGAGTGGATAAAACTTTACTGAGGCAGAATAAGAGTGGCAGCAGCAAAGCGGGCCAGTGCTGAAATGAACCCCTACCCCCCTCCTAAGCCCTGCAGTGGGGACCCACCTGAGGCTCCGGAAGCTTCCAGCCTCTGCTCGCTCAGGGGTCCGTTCCTCAGGGAAGTCCCAGGAAGCCGCTTCTCTTCCCTCTTCTTCCTCATCGCCAGCCTCACCACACAGCTGCCCAGCCAGGAGAGGCACAAGTCCCAGAGCCTGGAGCCGGCCCAGGGCGCCAGTATCATAGAGGAAGCCCACGAGGGCGGCCACGACACGAGGGTGCCAGGCGCTGGCACGAGGGTCCCGCAGCAGGCCCATCAGCAACTCCAAACCACCAGCGTCACGCAGCCGGGCCCGGTTGATGGCCTCCCGGCACAGAAGGCACACGGCCCGCACCAGAGGCTGCTGGGAGGCTGGGCTGGCCCCATTGGTGCCCCGGCGCCGTCGCAGCTCACTCAGTAGCACCTCCACACCACCGGCATTGCCCAAAGCAGGCCGCACAAGGCCCTGGGCACACAGGTTGGCGAGGATCAGGATGGTCGCCTCACGTACTGCCCTTTTGGGGTGGGAAGCCAGGCTAACAAGTGGGCCTAATCCCCCGCCCAGACTTAACTGCTCAGCACAGGCCCGGGAGCAACCTCGGCTGAGCTCCAAGAGGGCACGGACTAAGGCTGAGGTCAGCGCAGGGTCTGGGGCAGCCGCCAGGAGCTCGGCCAGTGGGCGCACTGCTCCCTGCTGTGCCAGGGCCAGGCGGTGCTGGGGTGTGTCCGCCAGGTTGCGGAGGGCACGCACTACACTCTGTAGGCACTGGGAGTCCTGGCAGGCTGTCAGGCTCTCAACCAGCAGGGGAACAGCACCTGGAGGGAGAAGGAGAGGACGGAGAGTGAGCGAGGACAGACACTCACGCCCTGCTCTCACCTGACCGTCGCAGCCTCTCACCAGCAGAGTGGATGTCCCCACAGCTCTCAGGTTCCATGGCTAAGTTCCCCAGAGCACGGGCTGTGCGGTTCTGGATGCTGTCTGCCTTCACACACTGAAGAATCGTCACTGCAAGGAGAGTTTGGCTTCTTGAGGAATCTACTCCTTATTGTCACTCTTGCCAACCATCTCAAGAATGTGGCCTGAGAGGGTCAAGGAAGGCCTTCAAAAGAGTCTAACACTTGAGATCAGAAGATAGCATAGTGGTTATGTCGCTGGACTCCCATATAGTCGACTGCAGTTCAAGTCCTGGATATGGTGGCTTAAAACTCACACCAGGCACTTGGCATGCGTGCTCAAAATCCTGACAGGAGAATGGAGGACATGGGATTGCGGCGTAGCCATCCCACCTGGAGGGTGACTTCTTGCTTTCTATTTGTCTGTCTGTCTCTCCAGAGAGCGTATGTGCCTTAAAGCAAAAACCTCTCAAAGAAAAACAAAAAGAAAAAAAAAAAAAAAAAAAAAAGGCTAACACTTAAAGTAGTTTAGAGGGCTAAATATGTAGGTCACTGCTAAAGGATGGTGGATGGGGGTATCACAGGGCATTTCATGCTTGGGAGTAACCTTGACAAAGGCCCAGAGATTAGACCCAGTGTCTGTGCTATGACCTTGCCGAGAGCTTCGAAAGCCAGGCCAGGAAGTCAAGACTTCCTGTGAAAGCACTGGGAGTCATATAAGGCTTTTAACAAAGGGGTCCGTGGGTTAGGTGGTGGCTTAGGGGTTACGGTGCTGAACTCCCACATGGGCCACTACAATTTGAGTAATGGATCCGGCAGCTTGAAAATTATACTGGATGTGAGCATGCATTCCCAAAATCCTGAGAAGAGAATGGAAGAGGGATTGTGGCATGGCCATCCCCCTGGGGGGTCATTTTTCACTTTCTTTCTCTCTCTGGTGAGCGCACATTCCCTATAACAAGCAAAGCTCTCTCTTAAAAAAAAAAAAAAAAAAAAGAGACAAGAAGAGGGCCAGGGCCATGGCCATGGATTACGGGGGAAAGAAATAGAGCAGGGAAAGTGGTAAAGAGGCCATCACTATAGTCCAAAAGAATGATGGTTTCAACTAAGTCACTACCAGCACTGCCCAAGACAGGGGTACCAGTCTCTGGGCACATGGTGGAAGTACAGATAGAAATGGACAAATTCTGAAGATATTTAAAAATCCAAATAGTGATCAAATGATAGAGATGATACATTAATAAGATGATACATTAATACATTAATTAAAAAGATAAATTTATTTATCTTTTAGAGGTTTTTGCCATAGGATACGCGAGCTTATCAGAGAGAGAGAGAGAGAGAGAAATGAGAAATCACACACACATCCTGGGGGGGAAGGCCATGCCACAATCCCTTCTCCTTCATTCTCCTCCTAGGATCTTGGACACACATGCACAAGTGTCCAACATGATTTTCAAGCCAGTGGGTTCAGGATTCAAACCATGGTCCGCTGTGTGGGAGTCCTGCAACATAACCAATACACCATTGGCTAGACTCAAAAGGTACTATTTATTAAAGACTGCTAAACATGCCAGGCATCTTGTCAAATACAGGATATTCCTGATGCATTTTATGCAAGTTTTAAATATACAATGCCTCACTTTATCCAAAAAGTGTAGATTTCACCAAAATTTGCATATTTCATAGAGGGCAGGCAATAAATAACTGTGTTCACAGCATTGCCACGAGGAGGCACCAATTTAGCTAGCTAAGAAACAGAACAGCTTACTCTCTCCTTTGTTGGGACTTGTTCTTGTACTGTGTTCATTTTCTAATAACTTGAAATACTCAGTCCATGTTTAGAGTATCTGTGTTCTGCGATTGTAGTTCATTTTCTCTCCTACTCTACTTTTGTGAAGTTATTTTCTAAAGTTTTCCCATTTTACAACAAGGGATTTTTTTTTTTTTGGAGAGATTTTCACTGTAGGGCGCGTGTGCTCACCAGACAGACAGAGAGACATAGAGACAGAAAGCGAGAAATCACCCCCCAGGGGGGATGGTCACGCCGCAATCCCTTCTCCTCCATTCTCCTCTCGGGATCTTGGGCACGCACGCACACGCGCCCGGCGTGAGTTTTAAGCCACCGGGTCTGGGACACAAACCGCGGTCGACTACGTGGGAGTCCAGCGACATAGCCATTACGCTAACTGCTGGTTCCCCCGAATCACTATACTTTTTGACTTCCAGCTCACCAAGCAGGGCTTCAGACCTTTGCCCAGACCAGACACACAGTAGGTCCTGGGTGTCTACTATGTTCACTGTGACTGCCCTCACAAGTGGCGGATAAGAATCACCTGAGAAGCCACCAAGTAACCTTTCAGCGTCCACCAGTCCACATACGAGGAGAGTGCCTGACAACCAATACCTAGACAATGGCTGTAATTATCTTATCTGGGAGGGCTCAGGTATAATCTGTATAGCAGCGACGTCAGGGGGGCGTGACGGTTTGAGATAGGGGCGCTGCACAGTCACGAAGCACGCTATTCCAAACTATGGCACAAAGAACTCAAGACAGCCAAGGCAGACAGGGATGGAGGGGCCAGTGGAACCTGTCTAGGAAATAGGGGCGGAGCACTTACCCAAAGGAAGAATGCCTCCGAGTCTGCGCACTTCAGCCCGGCACGCCCCTTCCGTACAGCAGTTAGCAAGGATGCTGAGCGCCAAGTCCAGCGTCTTGCGCAGGCGCACTGGCGGCGAAGGCGTCGACGCCAGCACAGCGGAGGGGGCGGGAACCGACGAGGGGGCGGAGCCAGCAGAAGCAGCTGACACGACCGAGGGGGCGGAGCCAGGGCCTGCCGGGGACGGGGCGGGGCCCGCTGCCGCCGCTCGCCTCAGCAGAGCGAGAAGGGGGCGGAGCCCGCCCCGTGCCCGGAAGCGTTCGATTCCTCCCGCTGCCTTGATGTGGCGCGTGCGGAGGGCTAAGAGCGCGCGGCCCAGGGGTGTCTCGTTGGTAGCAGGTTCCTTTCCCCCACCCAGGCCCTCCCCGGCCGCCGCCGTGAGCTGTGCGAGGCAGAACGAGAGCGAGTCCGTGAGGGTTGGTTTCGCAGCCGCCATCTTGACCCGGGCCTCAAGCTCCTCCCTGCTCTTCTCCGCTTAACAGGAGAGAGCGGAACTGGAAGAGAGAGGCGTGGCCAGGCACCTCCTCTCTGACGCTTTTTAAATAGCGCCGCCGCAGTTAGCTTGCAGGTCGGAAGTTGTAGTTCTGAATTTCTGAACTCGCTTCTAGCACAGTCGTAGAATGCACGTGGGGAGTGGTGGTTATCTATTCACTGTGCGAATTCGAGACGCATGCGGTGCATACTGGAATACGTAGTCCAAGCCAAGCGGAACAGTAGTTGCCTAGCTTAGAGCAGATGGGAAACTTCAGGAGGCTTCAGCCTGGTGATGGTGCCTCTGGGGAACTCAGTCATCCAACTATGGAGCTTTCGTACCGTGATGTTCCGGGTGACTTGGCTGCTTCACCCCCGGCGCGTCCTTGGCAGGGACCGCCTTTCCTTCGGGTTTGTTTCGCACCCCCACCCGCGGTCGGAGTTCCGAAGTCCGGGCTGACGGATTCCGAGAACCCTGAGCCAGGCCGAACGTGTCAAGTTCCTGACAGCGACCGCAGTGGCTAGCTCTCGCTTGGCCAGGAGAATGAGAGGGTTAAACCTACTGAGAAAGTTCGCTCTCGCTTCCTAGAGCGACAGGACTTGTGGACCTTTCCGTTTCCGGTGCTGGATCCATAGGTCCCCGTTCTGTTTCTGCAGGTAAGTTCAGTAGTTGATATTTCAGGAACGGGGCTCTCCTTGACTGTGATGAAGTCAGCGGCGCCAGAAATGGCTAGGGAGAACCTGGACAGAGCCAAGTGTCAGGGAAACGAGACATCAGGATACCCCGGAGCCCCTAGGTCGCCCCTGGATTGTGAGGTTGTTCTGCCTGAGTGGCCCTTCCTTGTGCGGTTGGGGCAGCGGCCGCCCAGGAAATGCTGCTTGGCCTGCATTATCTATGTAGGTCAGGACCTGGTCTCCAGAAAGAAGCCCCTGTCAAGAACAACTATCCTGCAATCCCCAAAGCCTTCGACTGTCAGTAGCGTGGTTTGACCGCAGCCTGCCTTCTTGACCTCATTCACCACCAAAGCAGCCATGCGGGTGACAAGCCATACAGCCGTTCAGAATGTGGCCAGAGCTGCTTCCATGGCGTAGATCTGGTTAAGCACCACCGGGTTCACACTGGTAAAAAAGAAAAATACTCCCTGTTGGGAGCATGGTTGGTCATTGCTGCAGCCTCAGCTCCAACCTCATTCTGCTTGGCTGTTCCCATTCAAGTAAGCGGCCCCACAAGTGTCCAGAGTGTGGGGAGGCTTTTAACACAGCCCAGACCTCGTTAAACACCAATGGGTGCACACAGGTGAGGAGCCCTACTGCCTGTGCTGAGTGTGCTAAAACTTTCAGTGTTAGCTCAAACCTGATCCAACACCAGTGCATGCACACAGGTGAGAAACCCCACCGTCGTGGGAACTGTGGCAACAGCTTCTACCTTAGCTCAAGCTTTTTGCAGCACCCAGTCACACACAGGTGAGAAGCCCTACCACTGTGCCTGGCGTGGTGACAGCTTTGGTTGCAGTTCCTATCTGATCAAGCACCAGCATTATCACATGAGGGAGAAGCCCTAGGGTTGCTGTGAGTGTGGCAAGAACTTCACAAACAGCTCGGACTGCCTGTGACACCAGCACACCCACAATGGAGAGCAGCCCCTCAGATGTCCCGAAGGTGGCTGTGGCTTTAGTGAGCACACCCAGTTCACTGAGTACCAGTGCATCCACTTAGGTGAACGATCTTATGTCTGTCCAGAATGTGGCAAAAGCTTCTACCACAGCTCCAAGTTCCTTAAATACCAACGCACATGGGTGAGAAGTCCTATAAGTGCCCTGATTGCAGCAAGACTTCGTAGACAGTTCAGATCTGCTATGGCTCCAGCACACACACACACACAGGCCGGAAGCCTTAATGCTTGCACTGAGGTAACAAGAGCCTCAGCCAGAGTTCCCACCTACTCATCCACCAGGTGGCCCACAGTGGTGACAAGCCCTTCGTCTGCCTGCAGTGTGGTGAGACCTTTGCCCACAGCTCCAGCTTGGGCCAGGACCAGTGAACACACCAGGATGGCTGCCTCTGAAAATATCCCTGACTTTAGTTTTAGCCCAAACTTCAGCTGACATTTGTCTAGTCCTCAGGGAGCCTGAAGGGACCAAGATCTCTAAACAGACCTGCTGCTCTGGGGACCAGTTTCAAGGGTTGATAATGGGGCTTGGTTGGGCCTCCACATCTTCCAGGACTTTTGAGCTGAGTGAAGGAAACCCAGGCTGGAAGAAATCAGAATGCTAGAGCTATGAACACTGCCTTCAGAAAGCCCTTGCAGATAAAAGGCTGTGGATATAGAAGAGCTGCCAGCAGGAGGGAGAGGTTTTAGATGGCAGCAGGTGTCTAGAACTTCCCAGCTGCCTCCAGATGCTTCTACCCCTAGCAGCTGTTGACCCAATCTCTTCATAGGCTGAGCGAGTGATGGAATTAATCACACCAAGAGCAATCTCTTCTCAGAGAAATGGGGCCAGAAGTCATGCAAGCCCTTGTGACAAGTGCAATGGCAGGGGAATGGGGGACATTAACCTCCAGAGTAGAAGTGGCATCAAGCAGACTGACAGGCCCGGGAAGGAAGGGTACATCTGTCCCTGAAGAGTGCTAGGAGAGAAGCAAAGTGGAAGGTAGGGCAGGAAGGGGTGAAGAAAAAGGACACTGTGGCATTTCTACATGGAAGAGGCCTTCTCCCCATAATGGAGATTATAACCCCAAATGCCTTTCTGTCAGGGAATGAAACATGCCAGACTGGGGACACAACCCAGAGGGCTGGGAACTGTCCATGACCGGGGCAGTTACTGTGCAACAAAGTATTGCTGGAAAGAGCCAATGTAACAGGATCTTCTCATCTAGAAAAACAAACAAAACGTAGAAATTTAGGTTTTGATGTAACATCTGATTTAAATGTGGTTTAGCTGTTTAAACACAAACACCAAGAGGGCCAAAACAAATGTGTCTGTCATCTCTGGCCTAACACTGGTCACATGTGTGGGCAGTGAGGCTGCTTCTACTCCCAGCTCAGAGCACAGTGAAGGCTAAATTCCTGTTGGATTAAAAACCCATCCCTCGGGGCCTGCCAATAACATAGTGTTATGTCACTGGACTACCACATGATGACAGCAGTTCAAGTCCTGAACCTGGATGCTTGAAACTCATGTTGGGAGCATGTGCGTCTGTGCCCCAAATCCCAAGAGGAGACTGGAGGAGAAGGGATCGCGACGTGACCATCCCCGCTGGGGGCGGATTTCTCACTTTCTGTCTCTCTGTCTCTCCAGCAAACACATACGCCCTATAGCACAAATCTCTAAAAAAGGAAGAAAGAAAGGAAAAAAGAAAGATAAAAATCCCTCTTGCTTCCAAGTCTGGCCTGTCTACCCGTTCTAGTCAAGACCTATTTTCTGCAGTTTAAGAGAGATGGAGGCCTATGGATGGGATTTTGCAAACAAATCCTCCTCCCTCACCCACCCCTACCACATACCCAACATCTGTGTGCAGTTACAGATTTTGCAGGGTACATTTTCAACACTTGACACTCACTCCATGCAACTCTGAAAAAACTGAGACCCAAAGTCCTCTAGTGAGCAATATAAATAGGACCTGATCATAACAGCTATTAATTGAGTGCCTACTATGTATATGCTGGTCCCCTGTGTTTTTCTTTTTAACAAAATCTCTGTGTTGGGACCAGCAGTTGGTGTAATGGCTATGTCGTTGGATTTTCATGTAATCAAATGTGGTTCGAGTCCCAGACCAGGTGGCTTAAACTCACACTGGGCGCATATGTGTGCGTGCCCAAGATCCTGAGAGGAGAATGGAGGAGAAGGGATTGTGGTGTGACCATCCCCCTTGGGGAGTGATTTCTCACTTATTGTCTCTCTGTCTCTCTCTGGCTTTCTGGTGAGCACATCTGCCTTATAGCAAAAAACTCTCAAAAAAACCACAAAACCCTCCAAAAAACAAAACCAATAAACCTCTGTGTTTATACTCTATGATCTGGTTAATGTACAATACATACCCCTTTTACATGTCTCTAAAGAATTTATGACTCCTTGCTAATAAGGCAGGAGATAGGGCTATTAAGTACACAGACAAGGTAAAGGCCCAAGATGGAGTCACAATAGCTAAATTTTCACAGCCAAAAGGTGGCTACAATGGGACTCAAAGCAACTATAGCTAAGGACAACAGTTTCTATTTAGTATCAATATTCTAACTAGAAGTACAGATCGCTATGGTCTGCTGACCACATGAAGAATAGGGTGATAACTCACTCAGACTATCATGTAACTATTTTCTTTTCTTTTCTTTTTTCTTTTTGGAGAGGTTTTTTCTATAGGGTGTGTGTGCGTGCTTGCCAGAGAGACAGAGAGACAGAAAGCGAGAAATCACCCCCCAGAGAGGATGGCCACGCCACAATCCTTCTCCATTCTCCTCTTGAGATCCTGGGCATGCACGCACATGCTCCCAGTGTTAAGTTTAAGCCACCAGATCTGGGACTTGAACTACGGTTGGCTACATGGGAGTCCAGTGACACAGCCGTTACATCAACTGCTGGTCCTGTCATGTAACTATTTTCTAAAGCCCACTTTAACACAAAGTCAGCCCCTTACTGCAAATCTTAGCTAAAAAACTCCTCACCTCCAGCTCGCCTTCGGCAGACCTCTCCCTACATCGGAGCTCTGTTCTTCCATCCCTCCCTTAATAAACTCTGTTTTGCTATCCCCTCTCTGTGTCTACATCTCTAATTCTTCTAGAGCATTGGACAAGAACTGGGATGGGTGATGAGTTTGATCACCAAACATTCCCATATCACTAGGAACAAAGCTGCTAGGAGTGGTTTGTACTCATAAGTAGTTACAAAGTTTCTAGTAAAATTTCTTTGTATTTTTATTCAACTCTGAAAATCATTACTTTTTATTTTATTTATTTATTCATTTTTTTAGGTTTTTGCCATTGAGCACATGTGCTCTTGGGAGAGATCCAGAGAAGGAAAAAGACAAATCAGCCCCCTACAGGTTCTACCCACAATGCAATCTTTTCTCTTCCATTCTCCTCTTGGGACTTCATGCTCACATGCACACACACACACACACACACACCTCTGGCATAATTTTCAAGCTGCCAGGTCCAGTACTCCAATAGCTGTTGGCCATGTGGGGATCCCGCACCTGAACGACGAGGCCACCTGGTGCTTTTTAGAGCTACTAGGACCCCCTCAATCATCTAGTTGGACTCTCAATTTTATAAGGGCTAACTGAGACTGGGTGGGACACGACTAGCCCAAAGTCACTCGGTGGGTGGTGACAGAAATCAGACTATAATCAGGGTCCTCTTGAGATATGACACATTTCCTAGTACCAGGGGAGAGAATGGCTCCAAAACCTGAGGACACTTGGCAGAGGTGGGACTAGGGTAACAAGTGTGAGACACGAGACTATTACAAAATTTAAAGGGATGCCAAAGTACCTGGTGATCAAAATAAATATATTTTTAAAAAATATAATTATTTATTTAATTTTATTTATTCGTTCATTTATTTTAATTTGACCAGAGAGAGATAGAGAGAAAGAGTGAGAAAGCAAGCTGCCAGGTCCAGGACTTGAACTGTGGTCAGCCATGTGGGAGTGTCCAGCACCTTAGCTACCACGCCACCTGCTGGTCCCAAAATAAATATATTAATGCAATCTTGTTTTTAAAGATCAGCCTGTGCCAGCCGCCTGTATTTGGAAATAACATTTAGTGGAACCAGGGCCAGGGTTAAGGTGAGGCAGGTGAGGTAAGTGAGGTGAGGTAGGTGAGATAAGGTCGTGAAAGTGCAGGACAAAATCCTGTCTTTAAAATCTGGATATTTTGTTCATCATGAATTTATTTTTTGGCATTAATTTTGGTGTTTTGAACTACTTCATTAAAATGTTATTTATCTTGAGAAGATTTTTGGCGCCAAAGGCCAGTCCATAACTTGCCTCACCCTAATCCCAGCCCATCTACCCCAATGTCCCCCGTCAACCTGCGCCGTTCTATGCCTTCCCCGCCTTCCGGCTGAACTCCTCTCACTTTCTCACCCCTAGGGGGCGCGGTCGCTCGGCCCTGGGCAGGTCATTCCGTTCCTCTCCATTCCCAAGCCAGGCGCGTATCTGGGAGCAAAGGGGCGGGAGCGCGCGGGGCGGGGGAGTAGCGGGGCGGGGCGGGAATTGCGCGTGCGCGCGGCTCCGGCGTCAGGCTCCAGCCTGCAGGTGTCTCCAGCTCCTCCAAGCAGGTGGTCAAAACATTGTCGGCTTGGCCTGAACTGTCGCGATGCGCTGGGACGTAAAACCTGTCGCCGAGGAGATTCCCTCCTAGCCACTTCCTCCCGCATTCTATAATCGTTAGGGAGGGCGGTTCGTAAGCGGCAGAGCCGTGGGCTCGCTGCTCTGTTTCGCCCTGTCTTGGGAAGTCCAGGGGACAGGAGGAATTTGTTTTGTGGGAGCCGCTCCCTCCCCACCCAGCCCTAGGGAACTTTTTTTTTTTTTGAGAGTTTTTTTTCACTATAGGGCGTGTGCGCTCGCCAGACAGACAGAGAGAGACATAGAGACAGAAAGTGAGAAATCACCCCCCAGGGTAGATGGTCACACCGCAATCCCTTTTCCTCCATTCTGGGCACGCACGCACACGCGCCCGGCGTGAGTTTTAAGCCACCGGGTCCGGGACGTGAACCATGGTCGACTACATGGGAGTCCAGCAACGTAGCCATTATGCTAACTGCTGGTTCCCCAGGTAACATTGATGTACATTCTGCCCTTATAGATTAATCTTTCATGTTTGTATTGTTTTGCATCTGGCTTCTCTGGTTCGACATAATTTTGAGATCCATCCATGTGTCGCACGTAACAGTAGTTGTTACCTTCGTCGTAGGTGCGGCAGGAATGAGCTCCCAAGGCGGAGGGCGGGGTGAGTGAGGACGCCGGGACCCTCCGAGTCCTAGTCCGGGTGCCCTCGGGACTCCCGTAAACGTGGGTTTCAGGTGCCAGGGCCTTTGCCCCTCGCCTTCCCAGGGCCCCTTGTAGGGACTGCGTTTCCCAGGATGCCCCGTGGAGGCTGGCGGCCGAGGACCCCTAGCGGCACCCCCTTCCCAGAGCGGGGACCTTTCCGAGCTGTAGTGGGTCCTTAGGGGCCGGCCCTCACAGTGCTGGGACCCTCTCCAGCGCGGCTGATGGCCTCCCGCGCTGGAGAGGGTATCGCCCTCTCCGGAGAGTGCAGGTGACCCGCTCCGGCTCTGCTGCGCCCCTGGGTGTCCTGCCGGAAGCACGCAGGCACAGATCGCTCTAAGAGCTGGCTGAAGGTCAGCAGCCCGGACCTGCTGCCGTCTACCTGGAGGAGGGGACGTTTCTGCCGAGGGGACGCCTCTGCAAGGCCCTCCCCAGTCAATAGGGAACATTTGGTGGGAGTTCCATGAACCCCACCACGTGAGTGTTTTCAGGAGTGGGAGGGATGGGACGAGCATCTCCACTGCCCTTTTCAACTTTCCACCCTCTCTTGTCTTCCTAGGGCCCGGTTGTTCCACTCCCTAGTTCACATTCCCAACTCTTCTCTCCGACAGCCCTTGGTGCGCTGCGGCCCTTCCTGGCAGGAGAACCCCCGCCCCCGCCACCATTTCCAAGTCCTCTTCTGCGTTCTGCTTGCAACCACCCCACGCAGCACCCGCATGCACACAGGCAGCGGCGCGGCCTCCGCAGGTAGGTTTAGACTGTTAGCGGCCTGAGGTGGCCTGAAGCACTGGGCCGGGCACCTCCAGCTGGGAGCAGCCTCAATCCTTCATCCCAGTGTGGCGTGTTTTGCGTGTCCCCTCCTGTGAAAACAGTCAGGAGGCCCTGCCATTCAGCACCGGGCATGTCCCACCGCCTGTGTGAGATAATGAGAAGACAGGCAAACACCCAAAACCAGACTGACTAGAAAGCATGCCCTCATCTAGGGATGAAGGAAATGACACCAGTGACAGGAACGTAATAAGAGGGGACAGCTACGGCAGTCACCGAAACATGGGCTGTGGTGGCTGACATCAGTAGATATAAGTTTTTGGCAGCCTGGGACACCTTCCACTGTCACTAAGACTGATTTCACTAACCTGAGCCCTGGCTCCCTGAGAAGAGCTGCCAGACCTGCTGTGGTCACGACTCCGAGTGGGGGAGGGCAGGGGGGTCACTGTGGCTGAGCCAGTCTCAGGCACTAGCAGGTGGCACAGCAGCCCATTCACACTGCTGCAGAGAACGGCTGCCCTGCGGAAGCCAGAGGCCCTTTCTTCTACAGGGCAGCAGCTGCAGTTTCGGCAATGATTTCTACACAGCAGACTCAACAGGGACAACATCCACTCTGTGCTCACCATGGAGAGGCTCACCACGGCATTACTGTATTATTGATATAGTCCAGTCATAAAGGAAACAAATGAAATGTGGTATTTAACACAAAAGAATTGTATGTGACCATTAAAATACGATCATTATGAAAGAATGAATGCATCAGAAATATTCCAAACTTGGCTGGTTTCTTGGCCTCGGGGTTAGGAGAGCCAGATCCCACATAGCCAGCCAAGCAGTTTGAGTCCCAGCCCTGGCAGCTTGAGAGACAAAATCCCAACAGAATGTAGAAATAAGAATGGATTGTGGCTTGATCATGAGGGGAACTTTCTCCCTTTCCTTCTTTGTCTCTCTCTCTGTCTCTCTATGGAAATCACACACACCCTCTGGCAATAAAGAAAACAAAAACAAAAAACTCAAAACAACAAATAAAATGTTCATAAGTAAAAAGGAATGCACATCTTTTAGGAAAGTAAAATTAAATGCCTCTTTTGTTTGGAATAGCTTATTCTTGTTCAGCATCTAAACTATGATTTTTTTTTTTTTTTTGAGAGGATTTTGCTATAGGGCGCATGCACTCACCAGAAAGACAGAGAGAGGCAGAGAGACAGAAAATGAGAAATCACCCCCAAGGGGGGTGATGGCCACGTCATAATCCCTTCTCCTCCATTCTCCTCTCGGGATCTTGGGCAACCACGCACACATGCCCAGTGTGAGTCTAAGCCACCGGGTCTGGGACTTGAACCACGGTCGACATGGGAGTCCAGCAACATAGCCATTACACCAAATGCTAGTCCCAGTATCTAAACAATGATTATGCAGTAGTTAAAATATGTGTGTTCGCAAAACCTGAACAAAATATGCAAACGTGAAAATGTTTCTCTTAGAGGAGGTGGAGTTATAGAGGAAAGGAGATTTCTTTTTCTGAATTGCCTTAATGAGATTACAGCATAGTAGTTAGGAGGAAGCTCTCAAGCCAAATGGTTCCGGTCTTGGTTCTTCCACTTGTATGTATGATTCTGGCAAATTACTTACCCTTTCTGTGCCTCAGTTTCTTCATCTGTAAAACAGGGTAGTAGTTCCTATCTTAGAAAGTTATTATAAGACTTATTCAATATGTAGAAACTCTTAGACTAGTACCTGGCATATATTGTAGTAAGTACTCTGTAAGTGCAAACTAGTTAAGCTATTAATTTTACTTATAATTTAATAAAATATTTCAAATAGAATAGACCTGGGCCGAACAAGTGGTGCAATGGTTACATTGCTGGACTCCCACATGGCCGACCGCGATTTGGCAGCTTGAAACTCAAACCGGGCGTGTGTGCGTTCTTGGCCAAAATCCTGAGAGGAGAGTGGAGAAGGAATTGCAATGTGGCCATCCCTCCTGGGAGCTGGGGTAGTGCTACTCATTGTGTTTTTTTACATTTATTTTAAATTTTTGCTAGAGGGTATATGCGCTTGCCAGAGAGGAAGTGAGAACCCCTCAGGGAGGATGGCCATGCAGCAATCCCTTCTACTCCGTTCTCTTCTCAGGATTTTTGGCACGCATGCACATGTGTTCAGGGTATTTTTCACGCCCCCAGGTCCAAGACTTGAACTGTGTTGTCAGCCATGTGGGATCCAACTGCCCTGACCGCCATCTGCACCACCAGCTGACCCTCATCGTGGTTTTAATTTGCATTTCCCTGGTGGCTTTTTTTTTGAAAAAAGAAAAAGAATTATTAATTAAATTAAATTAATTAATATTATTATTTTATTTCACTAGAGAGAAAGAAAGAGAGAGAGAGGGAGAGGGAGAAAGGAAGCCCCCAGGTCTGGGACTTGAACTGTTCTCCCCCATGTGGGAGTCCAGTGTCTTAACCACCACACCACCTGCCGACCCCAGCTTATCAGTCAAGGGAGTGAGCCACCATTTAAAGAGAAGGAATAAGAGGGATGAATCATGAGAAGTTACACATTTCAAATTTAGGTGTCAAGAATAAAAACCGAAGCTGAAAAAACTGAAAAAAGTGAAATTAGGAGTCAGCGATTTTTCTGGCATACATCTGAAGTGATGGCAGGGCATTAAGGGGAATGACCTTGGTGGCAGCGTAAGTTTCAGGCTTGGTGGGAGATCAGAGCCCGAAATAAGGGTCAGGTAAGTAGCGCTGAAGGTTCCCAGGGCTGGGGGCAGAGGGGATATATGGGGGAAGGGGAGCCATGGGTCAGCTAGGGGAAATAAGTTCTGGAGTCCTGTCGCTCAGCCCAGTGACCATCGTTAATCATATGATATATTTCAAAACAGCTAAAAGGATTTTAAATGTTTTTACTGCAAAGAAATGATAAATATTCGAGCTGATAGCTATGCTAATTGGCCTGATTTGATCATTCCACAATGTATACATATCTACAGAAACATCACACGCTGTACCCCCTACATGTACACGAGCATTATTTTTTGAAGAATTATTTTATTTAACTTTATTTATTTATTTATTTGGCCAGAGAGGGATAGAGTGAGAGAGCAAGAGAAGGAGAGAAAGCAAGCCACCAGGTCTGGGACTAACTGGGGTCAACCATGGGAGAGTCCAGCGCCCTTACCCACCACGCCACCTGCCGGTCCCAATAGACACAACTACTAATTGTCCATTAGAGGTTAGACTTGGGCTAGCCCATGGCATGGATCCTGCATGGCTGGCTGCATAGTATGAGTCCTGGATTCATCTGTTTGAGAAACACCCAAAAGGAGAAATAGAAGAGAAGGGATTGTGGTGTGTCCATTCCCTAGCAGCGCTGCTTTCTCCCCCTCACCTCCCAGTGGGTGCACATGCCTTCTGGCAAATGTTTTTTTAAAAATTAAAGAATAAACTTAAAACAGCTGGTGAGTTCATTCTTTCCTCTCCTTAAAGCAAAGGAAAAGCTTTAAGAAACTGGAAGCTTTGGGAACCAGCAGTTAGCGTAATGGCTATGTCGCTGGACTCCCACATAGTCTACAGCAGTTCGCGTCCCAGACCTGGTGGCTTAAAACTCACGCCAGGTGTGTGTGCGTGCATGCCCAAGATCCCGAGAGGAGAATGGAGGAGAAGGGATTGCGGTGTGACCATCCCCCCTGGGGGGTGATTTCTCGCTTTCTGTCTCTGTCTGGCGAGCGCACGCGCCCTATAGTGAAAATCTCTCCAAAAAAAAAAAGAAACTGGAAGCTTGGCAACAACCCAGTTTATGAATAGCATGCAAGAGAATTTATGTAACAGTGGTGGGTACAGAGGCTGCAGGGGAGGGTGCGGCAAGCCTTACACAGAGGTGGTTAAAGCAAAACCCCCAGCAGCCTTGAAAAGCACAGACTACCGAACAGCCTCTGGGTATTTGGCAAGTGACCACGTGGGGGCGACAGCCACAGGGGATGGCAGCAGCCCAGGGGCGTTCTCCAAGTAGAGCAAGAAAAGCTCTTCATGGGAGCTTCTAAGCTGGGAACAAGGGGATGGTAATTCCAGGGAACTATTTGGCAATGACCAACAAATGTCTGAAGGACTGTCTGGGAAAAAAGGGAGCCTAGGACCCTTTCAGGAAGAAATACCCCCTTCATTTCTGTTTTCTCTAGGAGCCATAGTTTTTTTTATCATTATTTATTTAATTCAATTTATTATTTTAGAATTATTTTAATTAAATTAATTAATTTATATTTTAAAATTTGACCAGAGAGGGACAGAGTGTGTACATGAGAGAGAGAGAAAGAGAGAAAGTAAGAAAGCAAGCTGCCAGGTCCAGGACTTGGACCATGGTTGGCCATGTGGGAGTCCAGCACCCTTAATCACTATGCCACCTGCTAGCCCCTTATTATCATGTTTACATTTTCTAGAGAGCATGCGTGCTCACCAGAGAGAGACAGAGAGAGAGAAAGTGAGAAAGTGAGCAGCCAGATCTGGGATTCAAACCATGGTCGGCCATGTGGGAGTCCAGCGCCCCAACCACCATCACCTGCTGGCCCCAACAAGATTATTTTTTAAAAGGAGAAGTTTAGGGAAGTTAGCTGAAAGCTAGTGTTTAGTTTAGAACCAACAGGAGGAACACCTTCGTGAAAGGTCTAAAGCCCCTTTATGAAAATGTACCTGCCAAAAAAAAAAAAAAAGATTAAGAAAAGAAAATGCATCTTCCTTATTTTTTATATATTAATTTTAGATAATGTCCATACAATTAATTTCCTTTTACATTTAAATTCCTCTTAGGGACATCTGTCTTAGATCAAAGCTGGAGGCATCTTGTCTGATTATAGTTCTGAAGAGGCATTTCTATAGGGTTAATAAAAAGTATTAACATGGTTCGAACATTCACGAAACACATATTTTTAGCACACCTACTTCAAGCCAGCTTTCCTGCTGGGTGCTAAGGCTGTAAGTGACCATGACAGACATCTCTCTGCCACGCCTTGTGGCTTTCTAGTGATCTGCTTACATCTAGGGTTCATGTAGGCTTTTGTTTTCTTCCAAGTAGTCAGAAAATTCAGATTAAAATGACACACCTTGTAGTAGTAGATGCTTGTCAGGTTTGTGGTTGCCTGGCAACTTGTAAATATTTCTCCTATAGGGGCCAGCAGATGGCATAGCAGTTATATCACTGGACTCCCACATGGCTGATGGTGGTTTGAGTCCTGGACCCAGTGGCTTAAAACTCATGCTGGGTGCATGTGCTTGTGTGCCAAGATCCAGGGAGGAGAATGGAGAAGAAGGGATAGTGATGTGGCCTTCCCCGTCTGGAGGGTCATTTCTCACTTTCCTTCTCACTGTCTCTGTCTAGCTCTCTGGTGAGTATACATACCCTATGGCAAAAACTTCTAAAAAAATACTCCTCCTGTATTTGGGGCTTTTCCTTCCAATATAATTCTTGGCTCACTGAGGCAGAAACCAGAATTCAATTTCCCAGCCTTTCCCACAGCTAGGGCCCAGCAATGACCCAGGTATTGACAATTGGTGCACCCAGGATGATTCACAGATTCAGAAGAGAGGACTCCAATGATACACGCATTACGAAGAATCAGTGTTCAAGAGGAGTAAGGTGAAGAATCTAGCTTTCCAGGACAGCATTAAGGATGGTGCCGGCACCCCGAGAGCAGCAGTGGAGCTGGGTTGGCATCTCACTGCAGCTGGCCCACAGAATGGTCAGACAGCAGGCTTTTCTGGCCATAACGAGATACCTAAAGGTACCTAAGGTCCTCGTTTGCTTAGTTTTTAAACCAGAGGGAAGGGGCCTGCAGGTGGTATGGTGGTTAAAGGTGCTGGACTCCCACATGGGTGATCATGGTTTGAGTCCCAGACCTGACAGCTTGCTTTCTCACTTTCCCTCTCTCTCTCTCTGGTCAAATTTAAATAATAATAATAATAATAATTAAGTAAATAAAATAAAGAATTCTTTTACAAAGAAACCAAAGGGGGACCAGCAGTTAGCATAACGGCTATGTTGCTGGACTCCCATGTAGTCGACCACGGTTTGAGTCCCGGACCTGGTGGCTTAAAACTCATGCCGGGTGCGTGTGTGTGCGTGCCCAAGATCCCGATAGGAGAATGGAGGAGAAGGGATTGCTGCGTGGCCATCCCCCCTGGGAGAGTGATTTCTGTCTGTCTCTATGTCTCTCTCTGTCTGTTTGGCAAGCGCACATGCCCTATAGCGAAAACCTCTCCAAAAAAAGAAAAAAGAAAAAAAAAAACCAAAGGGAGTCCTGCTCTTGCAAAGAACTGTGAATAATACATACACTGAGCTACAGTTACCCGTCAGCCCCTAGGCTAATACATTGCTGTGTAGGTAAACTTCATAAAAATGATTTAAGGTACAATTTATACAATTTATAGCTGAAAGAAAATCCACGACTCAAAAAGACAATTCATTCTACAAATATTTATTAAAGGCCTAACCCGTGCCAGCCACCAGGAATAAAATATTGAATAAAACGTTTTCTGCACCTGTAAAAAATGACTTCTTATGCTTTAAATGTCCTCTTGTCAAAATAGGAGGCACTTAGAACAGCTGCCTGGAGAGGACCTTGCACCAGTCTGGTCCCATTTTAAATATAGAAACCCCCTAAAAATAGCCGCCCGTGTTCTAGACGCAACAGGTGATTGGCCCACAGAGGGGGAGGGCTCCCAGGCCTCGGTGAAGGAGAGTGAGAGGACAGTGTCCTTGGTCCCAGCTTCTCCCACCGCAATGGCTCTGCCTCTGAGGTCCTTGAGTCGGGGCTTGGCGAGCGCAGCCAAGGGAGACCATGGCGGGGCAGGAGGTGAGTGGGGCCAGCCTGGGGCTTCCTGCCCTCGCCCACCTGCTCCTGTTCCACCAGACGTTGGTGGGGGCGGGAGGGGGCCCACGTCTCACCTCGCCTCTCCCCCACCCAGCCAGCACCTGGCGCCTCCTGACCTTCGTGCTGGCGCTCCCTGCCGTGGGCCTCTGCACCCTCAACTCCTGGCTCCACGCGGGCCACCGCGAGCGCCCCAAGTTCATCCCCTACCACCACCTCCGCATCCGCACCAAGGTAAGCACAGCAGGAGGCCTGGGCAGTGGGGGCGACCTGCGGGCGGGGGTTCATCCCCTACCACCACCTCCGCATCCGCACCAAGGTAAGCACAGCAGGAGGCCTGGGCAGTGGGGGCGCCCTGTGGGCGGGGCCTGGGCAGTGGGGGCGCCCTGTGGGCGGGGCCTGGGCACTGGGGGTGCGGGGCAGAGGGTGGACCGCGCTGACCCTCCCCTCCTCCGCTCTCTCCACAGCCCTTCGCCTGGGGGGACGGCAACCACACTCTCTTCCACAATTCCCACGTCAATCCTCTGCCCACAGGCTACGAACATCCCTGAGGCCCCAGGCCATGCCTCAGGGCGCAATAAACACATGGAAGCTTGGAGCGCAGGTTCTTTGGGGGCGACTGGGCGGCTGTGGGGGTGGATGTGGGCGCGGCTGTGGGGCTTCCACTCTGCGCATGCGCACAGGGCAGCGCCACGTGCTTTTCCCAAGTGGAAGCAGGAGGCTTGGGAAGGAACGTCGTCGTCTGGAACAGGTAGGCGAGTACCCCTGCGTCTCTGTTACTTACAGTTAGGGCCCCAGGCTCTAAAGGGCTTTCACATACATTGAATCCTCACAGCACCTCTGGGAGCAGGACATAATGCTGGCTTCCCGCAATGTTCAAAAGAAGAGTTTGCGATTCTCAGGGATTGCATGACTAGATTTAATTTAATTTAATTTAATTTAATCTAGATTCTGGTAGCCCGTCAGAGATCTAGGGCTGCAAACCCTGAAGTGCCACCTCTCACCTGAGCTAAAGACATCTGTGAGTCCCAGCTATCTGCAGATAACCCAGATTTGAAACAGGGGATCCATGGTCTTATGTGCGAGGTCTCATGACCTAACTCTGGATTTCTGGATTTGGAATATTCTGGTCATGACCCACTTTAATGAGTCTTTTGTATTCATTCTGAAAATCCAATGCTGTGTTCTGGAAAGCCTGGCTCTCTGGGCTTTGGGGACTGTATTTAAGGGGTCATTGGTTCAATGAGCTCTGGACATTGCATTCACTTTCTAGGACAGTCTGTCCACTTGCCATTACTGAGGAGCCTGCAGCGCGTGACCACACACACACACACACACACACACACACCTGATAACACAGTACCTTCAAGATGAGATGACCTCAGGTCCTAGTCGTCGGAGAAAGGAAGAACATTTCTTACACCCATGAATAAGCTCCCCCAGTTATTCCTAGAACAGCGCTCAGATCGCTGGGTTAGAGCATTTCCATACAAGGAAAATGTGTTATCAACATCCTCATTTCATGTGACAGTTCTTATCCCTATGAAAAAGTATGCTGGCATCCTGCCATCTTCTGTAAAAAGTAGGTCATCAGGGAAGAAGCTTGACAAATATGTAAAAATATAAAAACGGGTACAACTCGGGAAGGTGGTTTCATGCCGCAGGGATTGTTCGGGCCAGTCCACATCTATGCAGAAGCTGTTCACATGAAGTCGACGCTCAGGCACAGTTATAAGACCAGCCCACGAGAGGCCAGGTAAACAGGAGAGGCGATTACTCGCAGGAAGGCGAATCTGGGGCTTCACAGCTGACACCCTTCCCACTGAGTACCGCGTGGTCTTCAGGCTTGTCATCCAGCATTTCTTTGTACTGACGTCTGAAAAAGCCAAGCTATGGGGAAAGGGAATCAGAACAGCTGAGTAAGAGAGCAGGGAAGAAGGCAGGAGTAGAAAGAGGCTGAGAGAGAAGATGAGAAGGGACTGAGCTAACTCGGGTGTGCTGGATCATTGGTCTAACAAGAGTCGGGCTGAGAACCTGCTGGGTGCCCACTGCATCCTAGCAGAGCAGCATCGACGCTGTGGTCAGGCCAGTCTGGGCCTGTACCCTGGTCTCATTTCTCTCTCACCTCAGCCACTCCGTGGTGTGAGCATTATTAAATTAGAGGAGAAACAGGCTCAGACAGGTTGAGCAACTTTCCTAACATGAAACAGTGAGTAAACGAGGGAGCCCCGAGGTGTGCCCAGGCCTGCCTGTTTCCATAGTCTGGGTTCTCTCCCATCTTTGGAGGGCTTGGCTGGGATACTTGTGGTGTGGCAAGCTGGATGAAAACACTTGCCTTGTACAGCGTGGCTGTGATGAGAGCCAGCAGCAGCAGACCTCCCACTGAGCTGCCCACGATGAGGGGGATGGGGTTGTGCACCTCATATTCTTCCAGCACTGTCTCCGTCTGATTTGAGGAACAGAAAGAACCAGGTCTCTTGCTGCCCAGGCTCCTCCCAGGTTCCCCAACCTCTAACTCCCTCCCCGCCTTCCCCAGGCCCTGCTCCAAGGGGCGAGGGGGGCAGAAGCACCCATGCGCGTAGGGACAGCCGTCACCCTCTTCCCTCTAGGCGGGCAGACCCCTACCCAGCCTCACAGGTTTAGCTCAGAAGCCTGTACCAGCCCGGCCCCTGCCTACCACGCAGTCACACCTGGGCTCTCAGAAATGCCTCCTGTCCGGGAAGCTGGGCGTACACGGATCTGTCGAACGTGATTTCAGCCACACTCACCAGTGACACCTTCTTCTGCAGTGTCTGCAAAAGACGGGGCAAGGGGGCCGAGGAATTGGTCTGGGGGATGCTCAGAGACCCAGACATGTCCTGGCTTGAGGTTGGCTCAGACCCAGCAGGGGCGGCCTGAGTCTGGAGGAGGGCTCTCTGTGGGGCCTGCACACCTGGCTGACCCAGCCAAAGCTGAGGTTGCCCTTCAGGACGAAGTCGAGTTCCTCCTGGACGCCAAAGGATGGGATGTCACAGCGGAGCCTCAGGCAGGCAGCGATCGAACAGTCCTGGGGACAGAAGTTAGATGTTAAGGAGAATTTCCACTTGGGGAGGAACTAAAAGAGAAAGTAAGGCCTATCAGATTTTGGTTAGAGAATAAATGAGCAAGTATAGGCTGTATTTATAACCCTACAATCTAGCCGCTCATGCCCCTGTCTCCCCCAATGCAAGCTGGCCCTACAGTCGAAGCTCAAGGTTTTTCTCACCAGCACAGTGCTCCTTTGGATCTGGGTTAGGAAGTCGGGATGCTGGGGCAGCTCCCTCTCTGATACACAGGGAAGGCTCTAGTGGGAGAGAGAAATAGCCATAATGATCCACATTTTCCAGGCAAGAGAGCGTGGGATCAGACCCGGGGGAGAGGAAAGAAAGCCAGGCACCTGTGAAGGGGCAACCACAGCCACATCCCACACAGCCAAAGGATGGGAACCCAGAGGTTAATGCTGACAGGCAGGTCTCGCTGACTCAGGTTATTCACCTGTAGAAAATTGAGACAGAACATTATCGTAGTCCTGGAGCATCTCAAATCCCACTTCTTTCCTGGCCCTACCTCGAGGCTCCTGTCCATCTTCCCCCACCAACTTCCAGCGTATCCACACCGCGCAAGAGCAGACATGGCTAGTCTCTAGCCTCTCACACGATATCGGTGCTCGGCCTCTTTCCCGTCCTCATCAGATGTTGAAAAGTTGAGGAACTTGGTGGATTCTTCCTGCCTGGAAAAAGAAGGCCTATTGATGAGAAATAGCCCTGAGGTCCTCCGCGGTGGTGCCCTAGCCTGCTGTGGAGAACTCTGTCGGGCCTGGAAGATGGCGCAGGGAAGTAGCGAGGGTCCCCACCTTCTGCAGCCTCACTTCCTCTCCCTGGTGGCCTTGGCCCCAGTTTCCCAGATCTATGAACTCAGCCCTTGATACACCTGGCTCTTCCTTACCCTCAACATGTTGCTCAAGATTTTCCTTCTGCTTGGGAAACAGCAGTAAGCGTAATGGCTACGTCGCTGGACTCCCACGTAGTCAACTGCGGTTCGTGTCCCGGACCCGGTGGCTTAAAACTCACGCTGGGCGCGTGTGCGTGCGTGCCCAAGAACCCGAGAGGAGAATGGAGGAGAAGGGATTGTGGTGTGACCATCCCCCCTGGGGAGTGATTTCTCACTTTCTGTCTCTATGTCTCTCTCTATCTGGCGAGCGCACACGCCCTATAGCGAAAACCTCTCCAAAAAAAAAAAAAAAGATCTTTCTTCTGCTTGGAAATGTCCTTACCTCCTCCACTTCTGGAAATTCTCAAAGACTCAACTTAAACATCATCTCTCACAACGTTTACATTTTTCTTTTGGGAATAAAGGCATTGATGCTGCTTTGTCGAGTAGCACATGGTTGGCCTCAGATAGTTTGCAGAGGCTGCTGCTAGAACAACTAAGCCTAAGGGGATTCTAGGAGATCACGCAGGGCAAAAATAGAATGAGTCCTGCCATGGTAGGAATGAAGGAAACTGATACGGCAACTCTGCAGCAGGTAAGTAAATGTGAAGGAAGTGGGTTCATGAGCACAAGCCCATGGAGGAGACATAAGTGTTGTAGGCTGCAGATGGGTTTCCATCCATCCATCAATCCATCCATCCATGGCTCCTGTTAGTGACCATTTACCATGTGCCAGGCTGTGTGATTGGCCCAGGAGGTTCAACAGGTAAGCCATAATCTCTGCCCTCTCTGAACTGAATGTCTTAGGTCTCAGTAGAACCGAGCACACCAGCAGGGGGACCTTACTTTTCATCAGCACCTTGCACACAGACCAGCCACACAGAAAACTCTAAGGACCCACCCAGTTTTTCCTCAGCTTGTTGACTGAGGACTCCTAAGCTGTGGTGCCAGACCACCTGGGTTCACATCTCAGGCCCACCACTTCTTATTTTTGTTTCTTTTTTTTTTATTATCATCATAATCTTCTTTATATACATTGGATTACATATAACTTTACAGTGTATTACAATGCTTTTTCAAAAGGGAATGCCATGCATGTCAGTCAATACAGAGACATTAATCTCCCCGCTTCAACATTCAATATCTTTTCTATGTTTCCCCCATCATTATTATTATTATTCTAACTATTTTTTAAAACAGTCAATCACTAATTCTCATTTTGCTTGTCAAAAGACTTTACCCATCATGAAATACTTCTCAGACCAATCCAGTTGAGAATACTATACATGTCATCAACAGGTAATAAGCCATATCTCTTTCCCACTAATGTCCTGCCTCTCTATTGTTCTCTTGCTATCTTTCTCTATCCTTTTCTCTTCGCCCCCCATTCCACACTGTACTTCTCATTAAGTACTTTCACTGCTTTCATGTCCTCCAATAATTTGCTCTCTACCATAGAGTGCAGATAGTCGGTATATATTGAGTGGATACATACAGTATCTTTTTTTCATAGCCTGGCTTACTTCACTCAGCAGTAGATCCTCCATATCTGACCACTTTCTATCAAATGCCAGGGTCTTGTTATTTTTTATGGCTGAGTAGTATTCCATAGAGTATATATGCCACACTTTTCCAATCCATTCATCAGTTTGAGGCCCACCACTTCTTCCCTGAGAAATTTGAGGGAAGCTAGGTAAGCTTTTTGGAGCCCTGTAGGTTTCTGTCTGCAGTGAAGATGCTCATAATTAGTGCCTTCCTATCACAGAGGGTGCTGAGGGCTGTAGCAGGGCCTAGCACATGGCGTGGCCTCCATACAGAGTTTAAGCTTCCCTTTGTATGTGAGCCTTCTTCTATCTGCTACCCAGGCCTTTTCTCTCTATGCTTTGACTTTTCATATTGAAATCTTCTGGTTCTAAACCTCTTTTCTTTCTTTTTTTTGGGAATGTTTTTGCTATAGGGCACGTGCTCTCGTCAGAAAGAGAGACAGAGAGTGAAAAATCAGAACTAGTCTGTTGCGTCCACAGGGATAAACTCCCAAAACATCACACTATGCCAACAAAGCTGTGAAAGAGTATTAACAGTTATATATTTTACATAGAGTCTGAAACAGTTAAAAGAATATTTCATAGTATTAACAATATAAATACATTCATTGGAATGGTAACTATCAAATTGAGAACACCAATTGCCTTTGACAAAGAAAGTAGAGAAAGTCATGGAAGGTACACAGAGAATTGAATTTTATCTCTAACGTTTTACTTCTTTTTTTTTTTTTTTTAAGTTTTTTGCCTTAGGGCACATGCACTTGCTAGAGAGAGAGAAAGACAGAGATGGTGAGAGGAAAGTGAGAAATTACCCCCCCGGGGGGGGATCACCATGCTGCAATCCCTTCTCCTCCATTTTCCTTTTGAGATGTTGGGCATGGACACACACATGCGCAGTGTGTTTCAAGCCACCGGGTTTGGGACTCAAACCATGGGTGTCCACGTGGGAGTCCAGCAATGTAACCACTAGGCCATTTGCTGGCCCCAAATCACCCATCTTTCACCAATCCTCAGAGGGGCACATAGTATATGGCCATGGACACAGGCTCTAGAGCCATACTATCTGGGTTTGATTTCCGTTTCTATCACTTACCCAGTTAATTTAACCTGGAGAATGACAAACAAGTTTTTTTAACCTCCTGAGTTCTTTGCTGGTAAAAATGAGAAAAACAATATATTGGGTCATAAGGAAAGTCATGATACATTTCTGCATAGGAAAACATAGAAAAATACCTCATGACTTTCCTGACCACCTAATAGTTATTAGGGGATTATGTGAATGAAATACATGGTAAGTACTTATAGCAATGCAATGCAATAAAATAAAAACCATCAGTGACAAAAATAATATCTGACATATCATAAGACAAATGTAAATATAAACTCTTATTATAAATATTTTTCTGGACATAGAAGGAGAAATTCACACATGTGGTTTGAAAGGGCAATGACACTTTTTGATCCCCTCCCTAGTTCCTCTAAATATTTATATGTTGGCCACAGCAGCAAACTCTGTCACATGGCAATAGTACATGCTTTCGAGCAGCCCCCTAAACCTCTGATGGTGAGCCTAGTATATGGGGTTGCTTGCATTGCTTCTAGCCTGTCCAGCCCCTGCCCTCAACCTACCTTCAGAACCCAGTGCAGCAGCTCTACATTTGCCCTTTTCATGGCCTCCCTCAGACCTTGTCCTCTTAGAGACCTTCCCAACAGATTCTCACACCTCTTCTCTCCACTGACTTGTAGAAACCTGACCTTTCCTTTCCTGTGTGTGGTGATAGACCATATCCTGTTGGGCACAAACTCCCCAGTTCAGAGTTCTCAGAAAGTCTTGCTCTCAATCTAGTAGTTTGGTTTTGGCTTATTCATGTTTAGCACAAAGGATAGGATTGACTTCATGTTAATTCTACATTCTGGAGGGAAAGGAAATTGTGCAGAGTGGTGGCAATGTGTGCGTGCTCCACCATCAAGCTGATTCATCAGAGAAGCAAGAATAGTAATATACAATATTACGGTATAAACATACAACTGGGCACCCATGTGAGCCTTCCTATGTGAGCCTTCCCATGTGAGGAAATGGAGGTAATTGCTTTGATGGCCATCATCAAACTGGTGGGGCAGAAGAAAAAGGTATCAGACTTGGAGGAAGGTTGAAGGGGAGGGCCAAGGATTAAGTACCTGCTTATCACTGTGTAGACTGCATATTTCACTGGGAGCTCCAGCTGGAAGGTAGTCTTGCTGGTTGCAGGCTTATTATTCTCACTGGAAAAAGAGAAGGAAGACCAGCTGGGAAGGAATCCAAGAGAGCAGTCTCTAAATGGGAGAGTGAAGGGCACTCTGTAGCTGGCCTGGGCTCACCTGCTTGCATTGGCCCTCATAAGCAACCTGTTTCCCAGGGTGGCCTTGTAGGACACATCAAATGTGACTGTGAAGGTGCCCTGGGGAAGAAGAAAGAAAACATTAGGTTAGGAAAGGTCACTGGGGAGTGAAGGAGAGGAATGAGTCAGGACAAGAGAGTACACTGATGAGTATTTGGGAGAAAGCACTGACCTTAGTGCCCTCTCGGAAGATAGGGTGGTTGATGCTACACTGGCTGCTTCTCAGGCTCTCATTCTCAGTGGGCACTGTCTCACATACCAGATGCAATGGGTGCTGATGGGGTTGCTTCTATGGGAGGAGAATAGGTTCAAAAAAGTTACCCACATGAATATATGGGTTTGGTATATGACAACATTGGCATTATAGAGCAGTAGAGAGGACAGACTTTTCAGTAAGTGGTGCTGGGAAAATTGGCTCATATAAAAAATAGAAAGAAAAATAAAAAGGAGAAAAACTGGATCCCTACCTCACTCCGTACATTAAAACAAATTCCAATGGGATTAAAGACTCCAATATAAAAAATCAGAACTATAAAACTTTTAGTAGACAATATGGAGGCTATTTTTATAACCTTGGGTAAAGAAACATTTCCTAGGGATCAAAATGGTGAGCAGGCCAGCTGTTTCAGCATTAGGTCAGTGGCTAGATGGTATTCAAAAATGGTCTTACAATGCTGCAGAATTCAATAAACTGGGGTTAATGCGAGATGATATAATATATGAGAATGAAGATGTGAAGGAAGCCATAAGAAGACTTCCTGAGAACCTTTATAATAACCTCTCTTTTCTCATTAAGAGAGCACTGGACCTGACCATGAGACAGCAGATCTTGCCTAAAGTGTGATGGACAAAATACGAGAAGGATAATTTCTACCTTGCACCATATCTAAAAGAGGTTATTCGGGAAAGAAAAGAGAGAGAAGGGTGGGCAAAGAAGTAACTAGGTTGCAATCGTGGATGCGGTGGTCCTTAAAGTATTTTTATGAAGTTGGGGTTGAACCTGAAAAATTTAATTTAAAAATAATTTGGTCTGCAGGTGTATTACTTTAAATAAATGTCTATTATAAACAAAACAAAACAAAAAAGAGAAACATTTTCTAAACAAGACTTATACACTGAAACACTGAACAAAGGAAAAGATTTATAAAATTAGCCACAATCAAATTAAGACATTCTGATGATTTAAAAAGCACTGTAAGGAAACTGAAAAGACAAGCAACAGGAGTGGGAAAAATATTTGAACACATCTAACTGGTGTGCAGAGCAGCCAATTTGAGCAAACATGGTGACCTTTAGACACATGTAGAAATGTGGTTTCGTGAGTTATCATTTGTACAGTGATGAAAGCAATGTACATGTGAATATGCTAGCTGTCTGAAACTGTAGAGCAGTATTAAAAGCTACATATGTTTATTAGAATTAGCCCTAAAAAATCAAAGAAACTACATGGTGCTAGTTGTCTTTGTATCTTTATCTGATTAACATCTGAAAACAACTGGCTTTGCATTGAGTGAGGGGTGCTGTGGATTAGAAATAAACATAAAAATAAACACATGAAGACATGTAAGTATAGAAAAGTGAGGGAATCGGGTGGGCCTGACTTCTCTGATAGTGATAGCCTCGACCATGAAGCAGTCTCAGGTTTATTCTTTTAAAGGGGAGAAAGTAGGGGAAGAGGAAATGGCATGCAAAATGTTTTGAGATGTTAATCCACTGAACATGGGAAGACAATTGGCAGCATGTACTTTATCTGATCTTTTGGGGCCAATTCTGATAAACACATGTGACTTTCTTTTTTTTTAAATACATTTTTATTTTAATTTCATGAATTTTTTAAAAGAACTATTTTATTTAACTTTATTATTATTATCATTATTATTTTTCAGTTTGGTCAGAAAGAGACAGAGACCTCCCACCAGGTCCAAGACTTGAACTGTGGTTGGCCATGTGGGAGTCCAGCGCCTTTAACCACCATGCCACTTGCCAGCCTCATATGTGACTTTCTTAAAATCAACATTTCTCTGCAGTTTCAGATAGCTAGCGTATTCACATGTAAATTGCTTTAATTGACATACAAATGACAGCTCACAAACCACGTTTCTGCATGTGTCTAAAGGTCACTATGTTTGCTCAGATTGACCACTCTCCACAAACTGGAATAGAACTAGTAACCAGAATATGTAAGGAACAGTTACTACAGTAAGCAGTGAAAGTACAGGTAATCCATGGGGCCAGCAGGTAGCACAGTGGTTAAGGTGCTGGACTCCCATGTGGCTAACCACAGTTTGAATTCCAGATCCAGTATGAAAATCACACCAGGTGTGTGTGTGTGTGTGTGTGTGTGTGTGTGTGTGTGCGCCCAAAATCCTAAGATGAGAATGGAGAAGGGATTGCAATGTGGCCATCCTCCCCTCCAGGGGGGTGATTTCTTGTTTTTTTTGTCTCTCTCCAGCAAGCTCATGCACTCTATAGCAAAAATCTCTCTCTCAAAAAAAAAAATATATATTTATATGTGTGTGTGTGTGTGTGAAACTGTAGAGCAGTATTGATTTGAAGAAAGCTACATATGTTTATTAGAATTGGCCCTAAAAATCAGAGGAATAGTAATTCTCTCTGGGGAGAAAGTGAGGTCATGATGGGCAAAGACATATAGTAAGAGCTTCTAGGATTCCTGTAGTGTTTTATTTCTCGATCTGGATGCTAACTTCATAAGTAGTTAATAATATTCATAAACCTGTACATTTGCTTTGTGCACTTTCCCATGTGTGTGTATGTAATCACAGAAGAATGAGAAAAGAACCTACTCTAACCCTAGAGATTATAGAGGCGGAGGTGGGAGGAGGCCCCTGCCACCTACAGTCCAAAGGAGTTTTTTACCTGAGTTCCGGACACCCGTCGATAAGACAGCCCTGCTGGGTAGTAGAAGGTGATCGCCGTCTCATAGGAATCTTCGCCCTCGTTCCACACAGTCACTGTCACATTGAGTTCCAGAGAGTTCCCCACCATCAAGGTCTGGAGACTGAAAGGGAAAGGACCAGACTGAGGGCGTGACTCCATTGGGAAAAGGTTGAAATTGAGTCAGTGGTAGGGGTGGGATTTTGGGAACTCGTGAACTATGGGCTGCTAACATTCCAGTAAAAATCATTTTTGTTAGGAAGGAAGTCAAGGAAGAGCACAAGTACTTCTCATCCCAGGAGGATAGGAGACTCAGAAGCCTGACGTTTGGAATAGGAAAGGAGATAGAGCTCACCCTGAGAAGCTGAAGTTAACACTCAGGTCCGCTTCACAGAGGTGATCGTGGCCGCAGTTCTTCTCAAAGGGGAGCTGCAGCAAAACATTATGTTCTCTTCCCATTTTGTGTCTTAAGCCTTCTCCAAACCCCTCAAGAGAAGCACTCGTCAATACTGAGTATTCCTGAGCCTCTGCACTCAGTACTTGTCTAGGCACCCTTGACTTGAAGGAGCATAAAGTTTAACCAAATCAAATCCAACTCATGCTGTAACAGTTATTTAACAAACATTATTAAGTGCCAGTAATAGGACAGGTTCTAGGTTGGACTGGGGATTGGGGAAGGTGGAAAGTACAGGTACTTCAACATGATACTTGTGGCCAAGAAACCTACAACCCCAAGAGAGCCGTACACAGAGATGCAGATTGCTGTTGGGTCAGGTAATATTTGGTGTGGTATCACCATGGTGGAGTAGGGGCCCAGAAAAGAAGTGGCAAGTGCCGAGTGTGGGTTTTCAAAAGATGGGGAGATGAAATTGGAGCTTTGAGGACTAGAGAAGATCCTTGAGATGAAGAGAAGAGGAATGAGATACAGCATAAAGGCACAGAGGTGAGGATGAGAATGCGAGGAAGGATCTGCCAAGCATGAACCAGAACGTTTATGTTGGGGTGAAGTGGGTAACCAGCTAGGGCATGTGTAGGAGTCTAAGCTGGCCAGGCCCTTGGTAGCTGGGGGGATGTTTTGGGCAATTGAGAGCTAATGTGGGTTCTTCTTTTTCTTTTTTCTTTCTCTTTCTTTTCGCTATAGGGTGCGTGTACTCACTGGAGAGACAGAGAGACAAAAAGTGAGAAATCACTCCCCAGGGGCAATGACCACACCACAATCTCTTCTCCACTTTCCTCTTACGATTTTGGGCATGCACACATCTGTGCCCAGTGTGAGTTTCAAGCCCGTGGTCTGGGACTTGAACTGTGGTTGGCCATGTGGGAGTCCAGTGACGTAACCAGAATGCCATCTGCTGGTCCCACTACTATGGGTTCTTTTATTTTTGGAGAGGTTTTTTTTATAGGGCGCGTGCGCTCACCAGAAAGACAGAGAGAGACAGAGACAGAAAGTGAGAAATCACCCTCTGGGGGGATGGCCACGCTGCAATCCCTTCTCCTCCATTCTCCTCTCGGGATTTTGGGCACGCATGCACACACGCCCGGCATGAGTTTAAGCCACCAGGTTCGGGACTCAAACCATGGTTGACTACACGAGAGTCCAGCGACATAGCCATTACACCAACTGCTGGTCCCTTGTCTTTCTTTTCTTTTTTTTTGGGGGGGGTTCTTAAGCACATGAAGACACAAAAACTAGTGATTCCCTGGGACTTCTCTTGAAGACTCACAGAAGCAGTGAAGAAGTCCTGTGAGCCCACAGCCAGCACGGGGCGAAGGTTCTGGGTTGAGGGGATGGGTTCTCCCACCAGGGAGAAGTTGAGACGCAGGATGATGGGGCTCACAATATCCTCCACGCAGACCTGAAGGAGAATGGCCATTCAAGAACCCACTATCTTCTGTATTTTCCAGCACTGGGGCCTCTGTCCCACTGTGGTCTCTTTCCCACTGTCCAAACAGCACCGCAGCTATGGAGCCAGATTCTTCACCCCAACTTTCCTCTTTCCAGCCACAGTTCCCTCACCCTTCCCACCTCTTTCTGCAGAGAGCAGTGAGGTTAGAGACTAGCCTTGGGCTGGCTCCTTCTCCCCTGCCCAGAACCCAAAGTTCCTCACTGGCAAAAGCAGCCTCATGGTTTCACAGTGATGTCCCAGCCCCAGGGTTTGCTGTCGAGTCAAAGTCCAGTTCTTGGTCTCATCAAAAATGGCACGAGAAATCAGACGGCCGGGATCCAATGCCAGGTCATAGGTGACAGAGCTTTGGATGTCACCTAGAGTGGGGGAGAGTGGATTATGGCCAGGCAGTGAGAACCCATCAATGGAACGGTCTGCATTCACTTATTTGTTCACACATTACATATGTGTTGAACACTTTTTGTGAACCCTGAGTTATATTAGGTTCTGGGGACATACCTGGAGAAGAAAATAAATATGGGGCCAGCAGGTGGCATGGTGGTTAAGGCATTGGACTCTCACATGGCTGATTGCGGTTCGAGTCCCAGATTTGGTGGCTTGCTTTCTCATTTTCTCTTTCTCTGATCAAATTTTTAAAAGTAATAATAGCATTAAATGATTCATATTCATTTTCCTTTTTTTTTTTTTTTTTGAGAGATTTTTGCTATAGGGTGCATGGGCTTGCTGGAGAGACAGACACAAAGTGAGAAATCACCCCCTGGGGGGATGGCACTGCTACAATCCCTTCTCCTCCATTCTCCTTTCAGGATTTTGGGCACACACACTCATATGCACGGCATGAGTTTCAAACTGCCAGGTCCAGGACTTGAACTGTGGTCAGCCATGTAGGAGTCCAGCAATGTAACCATTATGCCATCCACTGGTTTCCTAGTACATGATTCTTTTAAACAAGAAAAAATAGATGTGGGCCTGCCCTCCTGGAGCTCACAGTCCAGGACCGGCGCCACATGCCTGAGCCGTAACACCACAGTGGGGTCCTTGCCAGGGCGGACCTGCGGTGATACGGAGGGGAGTGCAGCCCTGTGGTTGGCCCTCCTGGCGTCTAGGCTGCGGTCCGGAAGATGGGCAGGGGCCCGGGGCAGAGTGGGGAGGACATAACACGACAGACTGTGGGCACGGTGGCTAGGACCGCGAAGAGGGAGGCTGGCATATTTATGGAGTTGGGCAGTGGGTTGACTGAGCCACAGAGGCAGGGAGGGGCCAAATCAGAGGGGACATCAGAGGGAAGGTTTTGGGTTTATGAACGCAGGGTGGGGACTAGCATGGTGTTAGGCAGGGGAGTGAGCAGCCCAGATCTGCACTTCAGGACTCCGGCTCCTCTGTGCAGAATAGGCAGGGGTGCAGGAACAGAGGTATGCTTTCTTTGGAGTAGGTGGAAAAGGAAGGGATGGTTGAGGGGGACGCAGTGGCTGGGGCAAGGGAGAGGTGGGCAGACTCCAGAGCTGTCCTGGGGATGGAACCTGCAGGCCAGGATGTGGGAGCAAGGGGAGAGAAGGGACCCAGGTTTCTGACCCGGACAGCTGAGCAGATACGCGGTGAGAGTGGGATTCCTGGGCCCATTCTGTCCTGAGGCTGACGCTGGGGCTCCCTGATGGGGTGAGCGACTTCAGCAGGGAGACTCACCTATCTGGTCGAGTGAGCTTTTGTGGATAGTGAGACAGACTGTGGCGTTCCCAGCCTCCCGGACGGTGGGTGTCTCTTCCCAGCACTGGTACACAGCCTTTGCCAGCTCTCCTGGGGTGAAGCTCAGGGCCACCCCCACTTTCAGTACTGGCAGACTTCTGAGGGGTATAAGCAGGGGAGTGAGAACACAGTGGGGGAAGCCCTGGTGACTTGGACACGAGGCGGGCAGCGGTGGGACATAGGGGAGTTGTTACCTGAGCAGTAGCACGTGCCCCTGGGCCCCCACGGCCAGGTCCACCAGGCCATCCTTGGTGAGGTCCTGACCCCCGCTCAGCGACTGCCCGAAATACTGGAGCCTGGGGGAGAGCTGGGAGCCTGCGACCCGCTGGCAGAGAGGGAAAAGTGAGTCACGGGGAGGTGACTGGAAAGCCTTGGGGAGAGGCTTGGAAAGGCGAGTGTCGAGAAAATGCTAATAGAGGTCGTGAAGGCGTGATGAGCGGGTAGGAGTTGAAAGCAAGCAGGGCCAGGACTCGGGGGACCCTCAGACAGAGAGAAGAGAGCGCTGTGGTCCCATTCACCGTGAGGGGCTGGCTAAGGGTGAAATAAAGCGTAGGAACGGGGGCAGGGC